AAAAAGTTATTTTTTGTATAGAATTGAAATTTTATTGAAAAGCTGAAAAAAATACTCCGCTAAGGAGAGAAAGAGGCTTGTTCTTATAAAGTTGCAATTTCACTTTTCAAAATATGACATTGTTTCTAATGCCTGACAATTAAGAGTCCATATTTTTTGGTTTGCTATGCCCCTGAGGCCAGTAGCAGCTTCAGATTTTTGAGAAGGTCTGGATCTAGGTAGATCTCAAGTCTACTTAATAAAAGACTCACAGAGTAAGTCTAGGATTCTTCTCTGAAATGATATATGTCATGAATTATTTTTTTTTTCAGGCACTGTTTCCTAAGAAGGCACTGAAGCAGACCTGAGTTTGAGAGCCAGAGCATCTATTCTTAACTGACTTGTTAGTTCATTGCACAGAATAACTAGAGGAGAATCTGATACAAACCTGTCTTACAAGAAGGTTTATATACTGTAAATATTTATGCAATGATGTATTCCCCTCAAACATATTTGTGGAAGTGTTTAAACCTTTTCCTATTCTTTAAGCAATTGAACCCAAGTGGAACTGCAATGAATGACTCCATCTAGTAAATTTCAAATAGTTGTTATGGTTCTTGATGGTCCATGGATACAGACACTGCATGGTTCTATAGGTAGGAAAATATATAAACAACTGGGAAGCACAACTGATGTTTTCATTAATGTAAGTATCAATAAATGTCCATATAGCATTGCAGAAAATGGTGAGATAGCGATGTTCAAGGACAATTCTAAATAATTTTACACTGTTGTGAACCAAGATTTAGTACTTAAGTTTACCACAAAAATTCTACCATCAAAAAGAAAAACTTAAACTTCTCCCTCTCCATCACCAATGTCATGTTTTTCCACAAGAAGTTCTATGGAGATCTATCACAACAAGAAAGAAATTTTGTGGAATGTTTTAATGAAAATAAATTAAATATGAACAGCTTTTCACTATGTTGGGAGCATGTTTTTTTCAAGGCTCACACACACCTTACTAAGCACCAGGCATTGTGAAAGACAAGAACTCAAGCAGTAAGCATGTTTTGTCACATGTTGTTTCGCTACATCCTTTGTAATTAATATTAAGAGCTGACATTTAGTCTCTGATCTAGCTTTACTTTTATTGTTAAAAGTTGCTGAAATGACCATGGCTTAGGGAGGAACCACAGCAGACTTATATTTCTTACGGCTAGTAGCCCTCTTTCGTTGACTTCTTGGGAACTTTTTCTTCCCCCTCTCTTAACGATACTGCAGCACATACACCACAAAAAATGGGCACTAAATTAAAACCAGTGATGACAGATTTTGATTTGGTCAGTGCAGCACTTGTCTTCTGAAGACAAAAAATAAATTCTTCACATGTTGAAGGCTCAGACATTTCTGCCTGCTACCTCAGCCCTGTGTCAATTCAAAATTCAGCATCTTGATAGTTGAAAACCTTTAATGGATCCCCACACTAAGTTCTCAGCCAGCCAGACACCTTATTTGTCTCATGAGTTCAGTGGGAGGGACTGGATAGGTGCCATGCCAGTGAATGCAAGGAGGTGTACCTCCTTGCTTACCCCGGTGAGAAGGGAGGGAGAGGACTGTCAGCAACGCACATAGTACAAGAGCACTTCTTCCACCTAAGGATTACTGACATGTGACTCTTCAAAAAATAGTCAGGGTAAAAATAGTAAGAAATAATTAATCTGGAAAAAAATATGCCAAAAGATAGGTAATGTGATTTAATAATGCAGCAGCTACTTTAGCTATTGGGTAGGAAGAAGACAGAGGGGCAAAAGATACTACCTCCTAAGAGCCCTCTCTGTGCAAAAGGATCTAGGATACTCTTCAAATTGTATATCTGGCATTTCAGAAACCAATCTCTGAAAGTTGATCTGACTGAGGAAGAAGGGAATTATCAGAGGGGCTCCATCCTGCAGTCATGCTGAAATGGCTCTCAAGGGTTTCCAGTCACTACTGCAGGCTTCAAGTCATAGAATCGTTTAGGTTGGAAAAGACCTGTAAGTAAGTTCATCAAGCCCAACCATTAACCTAACCCTGCCACCCCACCACTAAGCCATGTCTCTAAGCACCTCATCTGCCCAGCTTTTAAATCTCTCCAGGGATGGGGACTCGACCACTTCCCTGGGCAACCTGTCCCAATGCTTAACAACCCTTTCAGTGAAAAAATTTTTCCTGATGTCCAGCATAAACCTCCCCTGGTGCAACTTGAGGCCATTTCCCTTCATCCTATCACCCATTACCAAGGAGAAGAGACTGATCCCCACCTCACTATCCCCTCCTGTCAGGTAGTTGTAGGTCTCCCCTCAGCCTCCTCTTCTCCAGGCTGAACACCCCCAGGTCCCTCAGCCGCTCCTCGTAAGACTTGTGCTCCAGACCCCTCACCAGCTTTGTGGTTCTCCTCTGGACATGTTCCAGCAACGCAACGTCTTTCTTGTAGTGAGGGGCCCAAAACTGAACCCAGCATTCGAGGGGCGGCCTCACCAGTGCCCAGGACAGGGGCACGGTCACTGCCCTGCTCCTGCTGGCCACACTATTCCTGATACAAGCCAGGATGGTGTTGGTCGCCTTGGCCACCTGGGCACACTGCTGGCTCATATTCAGCTGGCTGTTGACCAACACCCCCAGATCCCTCTCTGCCAAGCAGCTTTCCAGACACTCTTGCCCACGCCTGTAGCATTACGTGCATGGGGTTGTTGTGACCCAAGTGCAGGACCCAGCACTCAGCCTTGTTAAACTTCATACAGTTGACCTCAGCCCATTGATCCAGCCTGTCCAGGATCCCTCCAATCCACAACAGTGACATTATGCTAATTACAAGGAGGTGTAAACAATGCTATTGCACAATACCCTATGCCACAGTTAACTTCTCAAATGGAGTTCAGGAATGGGCACATGCACTAATGTATCAAGAAAAAAGAAAAAAAAACTCACAAAAAAAATCCCAAACAAACACCCAAACGAAAAATTAATAAAAAAAGAAAAAAGAAAATAACAGGAAGAAAACAAAGTAACAGGCAAGAATGTCA